CGCTTTCCTAACAGCCGCAAAATCTCGCGTGATATCCAGAACTCTTATATCAATTCAAGATTTCGTGCAGAATCTCCATTTTTTCAATTTTCTAAGCTCAAACTCAGTACTTTAATCATTGTATGCCCAACGGCATCAAATCGCTTTTCTAACAGCCGCAAAATCTCGCGTGATATCCAGAACTCTTATATCAATTCAAGATTTCGTCCAGAATACGTTGTAGACCAAGTCTACAACGTAAACGCTAGCCTTCTGGTGCACTATTTCAGCTATTTCAGCTATTTCAAAGAATCTACTATATATAAAAGAGAAATGTTTGCCTGTCCGTCGCACGCGGTTTTCTCGGCGCGTAAATTGAAGGGTGCGCTTTATTAGATTAGTAATATCATGGTGACGTTGCCTCAAAAAAAAGAAAATTTCATCGTTCACTATTTTAAAAAGTTTAAAAATCGCTCAATTATGCCCTTTTTCCCCCTCAGCGATCTATGAGAGCGTGGCCGAAGTGGTTAGCGTCTTGTCTACAAAACGATTGCCTTAAGAGAGTGCCGGGTTCGATTCCCGTGTGTTCCAAACTTTTTTTGCTTTCACTTTTTGCTTGTTTTCAAGCATGGAGTTGAAGTATGCAAAGTGTGCGAGTCGGTTTTTGAGGTTAAGATATAATTTCTAATAGAAAAAGGCTAAACATGTTGTATCTATGTCAGTCAAGTACACAAAAAAAGGGGATCCTGATGAATGGATCAGGTATCGGGACAAAGGCGAATGCAAAAGACAGGTATCGGGTCGGGACAAAGGCGAATGCAAAGGACAGGTGTGTGTGTTGCTCATTCGTGTAAATGAGGTAAAAGGGGATTGCTTTTTGACCGACCAACACACACAAAAAAGTGTGAACCGTGAAAATCGGAGATAAATTAATCGAACAGCTGCCAGTTGGGTGCAATTTTTGAATAGTTTTAAAGGTTTTTGATACATTAATATCTACGCAAAATACTGTACTTTGACATGGCATTAACAAGTGGATACCTACCGTAATCGTTTGTAAATGTTACAGTAATTCATTTTTATCAGGTATCTTACCGAACAGGCATCTTTAGAAAGCCTAAGCACGATTTAACGAACTCTGGTTGGTTGCTTTAAACCTTACAAATCCAGTAAAGGCCTTACAAATCCAGTAAATACCTTCCAAATCCAGTAATCCGCCTTACAAATCCAGTAAATGTCTTACAAATCCAGTGATCCCCCTTACAAACCCAGTAAATGCCTTACAAACCTAGTAAATGCCTTCCAAACCTAGTAAATGCCTTACAAATCCAGTAAATGCCTTACAAATCCAGTAAATACCTTACAAATCCAGTAAATGCCTTACAAATTCAGTAAATGCCTTACAAATTCAGTAAATGCCTTACAAATCCAGTAAATACCTTCCAAATCCAGTAATCCGCCTTACAAACCCAGTAAATACCTTACAAATCCAGTAATCCAGTAATCCAGTAAACCAGTAAACCCAGTAAATGCTACAGTAATCCGTTTATAAAGGCTACGATAGCAAGACACTCTTTAGAAAGCCTAAGCAAGATTTAATCTTTCACCAACCTTTTCACCGTTGATTTCCCTCAAACCAAGGCCTCGAGAAGTCGGCTAAAATATCGATTTCATTGTCGAAAAATTTCAAAATGTGTTTTCAAAGAAAGCTGATATATTTTTATTCATTTTTGAACCGGTTTAAACGCGAGTTAAAAGAAAATTGAAGAAAATTCAATGGAAACGAGGAAAAAGATGTGAATCAATAAGGAAAACGAAGATACAATGAAAATGAAAAGAATAGATTTACAAAAGGAAAAGGTTTATAAAAGGAAAAGCTATTTTTTAAGTATCATATTTATCATTTGCAGTTAGCCAAATTTCCATTTTCTATTTTCTACACTTCAATCAGACAAAAAGCATTTCTATAGCTTATCAAAAAAGCTTATCAAACATTTAGCAAAATATTAATAAAGTCACATCTTTGATAAGCTGGATTTAAGGTTTGGATTTAGATTTGCTAATGTTTTAGCGTTCAATAAACTACTGTAAATACTATAATAGTACCCCACCCCCTTCGTACAGTCGCGTAGTCACAAAAGTTTTTTGTATTTCATTTTTTAAAGTGCCCGTACTTTCAAAAAATGCGTCTTTGGTATCAAAAAATAGCTGAAATTCAGGGCTATTTTTTGATACCTAAGCGCGCATTATAGCATAAACGAGTGTCGAGAAAAGCGCATTCAAAGCTAGACCCCGCAACACTCCGCACTGTCATTATGGGGCTGGGGTATTTACAGTGTCTATTTCCTCAACACGTTAACGAAAATACATCACAAGTAGGCAATAGACAAGTGCTTTTCATTTCTTTCAATACCAATTCACTTTGTGAACTTATTCAATGATTTTTAAGGTTCTATTCTAGGTTCAATATTCTAGCGAACGCTAGAAATTGTTTTCAAAATTGTTAAATCAGATAGTCTATAAAAGGTATGAGAGGAATAGTATTTGTACAGTGTGTTCTAAATAATCACAAGTCTTATGTAAAATAGCCTATAAGTTAGCTAAGTTACAAAAAGCTATGAGTTAGCAGAGTACAAACAAAATTTATGAGTCATGTACATGAATCTATGAGTCATGTACACTACAGTCAAGCTCCGTTAAACAGCCACAAGGTTGGCGAATTGAAAGAAAAATAAAAAAACTGCAAAAGAAAAATAGCTTATGTAATTGGCGGTGATCCAAACGGGAAACGGGGATAGATGGTCGATAGAATAGAAAAAAAAAGAGGTCAGAAGGCTGATTGAAGGGAGAAAGGGGTGAGAGTTAGGGAAAGGGACGGGGGAGTAAAGCGCGCAGACCCCCCAGGCTCGTCTTGTCCACCTCTCTCTACCCCCACCGCAAGCAAACACTCCTCGGGCACAGTCGGGCAAAGGGAGACCTTTCCTTTCATCCCCATAGCTTTTCAACGTTGAATATCTAGATCTATTGATGGCTCAAAGACATATACTAACTCTATAGATATTACGGTACTAGGCTGTCTTATTTGAGTTGTTTCTCCCTGGTAAATACCGTAATCCTTGTAATAAACGTTCAACTATGTGACTAGTGACTACGTAATACTACGGTAATAGAGCCTGACTAGTGACTACGTGATACTACGGTAACAGAGCCTGACTAGTGACTACGTAATACTACGGTAATTACAGAGCCAATATAATTATTATGATAGTAGAAAACTAGAGTTAAAGTCTGGTGAAATAGCTTGATAAGCCAGGCTTGCAAGTATCTAGAATATCTCTAGATGGCCCTAAATACCTGAACCAGTCATTCAATCAATATCTTACCGACACCGTAATCCTAAAAGCTATCTTACCGTGACTAAAGATCTATAGAAACAAGTAGATGATCACTGAACAAGTAGATAATCACTGAACTAATAAATGCAAATTCAAAGCTCCGATCAAATTCTAGAGAATCCAAAATCCGATAACAATATATAAACAAAGAAACTTATTCAAAGAAGAAGCCATTGAAAAGAGCAATTCGTATGGATCACCCATATCTCCTTGAAAGTTCAGCATATGGTGTGGCTGTAGCTGATCTAACGGAGAAGGCATATATTCACTTTTTCCATAGAATTGTATCGGCGGTGGTCCTTGAAAGGGTCGAGCAAGGGGTGGAGGAAGTGGGTGCTCGGCTTCTAACGACTTCAACGGATTGAATGGCGGCTGTGCTTTGTCCGGACAAATGTAGTTGTGCCCGAGGAATTGCACGAGTGAGCAATGAGTGGAGTGAACAAGTTGTCGGCAATACGATGAACCGGGCAGACTGCGAAGGCAATTACAAAACTGATCGTCGCATTCACTTTGAGGCAGCGCGCAGGTGGAGTAGCATTGATCGTGAATTGCGCAACAGGAGTTGACTGGAATTGAATTTTTATGCTAATTTCTGTACTTATCTTTCAACTTTCAAACTTCAACTTTCAAAATAAGCCTCTATCTACCATAAACCGTTCAATATTCAACACTAAACTTTGTTCAAATTTGCTTCGGCTTTACCGTATCCGGACTTTATTCAAATTTGGATTTAAAGCTATCTATCGTGCCCCAACTTCTATTTAGCACTAAACTACATTCAATTTTCATTGAAAACTACCATAATCGTACTACGTAAAGCCACCGTAATAGCTATGATGTAAATTAAAGCTTGTAAACTGTCAATCAAGTAACTCACTTGAATTTTGATCACATGAAAGTGTCATGAAATAGGAGCTCCATGCAGAAACCGAGTCACCACCACAAAAATACGGTCCAAGAGTCTCCGGATCGGGTGGGATAACTTTTGATCTCTCAACAGATAGAACAAAATCAATAAATAGATACAATATGAATAGCATTAAAAGTGGGAATGGGGTATCAAGAGTATTGAGGTTCAAGTGGTACAAAAATATGATCGCGCAAACCGGTTCAAAATCTCGCATAGTGGCAAAAAAAAAGTGGAGAGAGTTAGTTAGGTGATTCACGGCACTAATCCCAAAAAAGGATTTGTGATCTCGCAAAAATCTCGTCGAAATCGATTGGATCACTTCCTTTCTATGGCAAAAAAAATCGATTTTTGAGCTTAAAATCTTTATTGATAGAAATAAATAGTATCACATGGTAGAACTATGAATAGAGAACTTGCTAGTGCAAAGTCGAAAACTGATTTTGATTCATTAGCTTCAACGAAAGAAAACTGTTTTCTATTTTGCACTAGGATCATACTGCAATTTAACATCAAACAATTAAATTTCGGGCATCAGGAAGGTAAGGTTCGTTTTTTTTGTTAAAAAAGCTTTTATACAAGGCACCAATTAGAAAAGATATAAAAAGTTTAACCAGAGACTACACGAAAAGAAAAAACACACAAATACTTACAATTTATTCATTCGATAAAGTTGGGATGATTACGCCTCCAAAGTCGAGTGTCGATGAATCGTGTTACGCCTCCAAAGCCACTTTTTCTCGTCTTTTTTCTAAAAAAATAACATTATACGAACTGTAAGGGAAATTTTGTCAGCTTATTTATCAATGAAAAAAATCAAGCTTTGGTTATTCTAGCTTTACTGGTAAACTTTCAACTCTAAGAGACGAACACTTCGAAGACAAAGAGCTATCTATAATCGTTACTTTATTTTTAGATATTTGTAGATATAAATAACAAGATTTCTGATAAAATTAGAGGTTAAAAACCATTTTAGGTAATTAACTGCTTTCTACTCAAGAAATTTTACCCATAGTTGATATGAAAATTCAAAATACCCTCACCTTTTGCTCGTTCTCGCTCCCTTTCAGGCATATCATGTGTCGGGACTTCTGGCAATTCATCGATTTTGGCCTCTTTTGCTAGAAGAGCGTTTAATTCATCCTCGACATCGGCCAAATCCGTTTGATCGAGTTTCCCGGAAAGCATGTTCGAAATCTCCTAAAATTAGCCGATTAATTTATTTTCAAAAAAACACATACCTCTTGATATTCGGCAGCTTCTTTTGTCTCATCCATGATCTTCTCGATTTCTTCGACGTCGAAGAGCTGAATTAGAAAATTGTTTGAAAAAGATTACGGAAAAATAGACGAATAAGGGTTTGGCTTTAAACCTATTTATTTGGGTGATTTTAGTTCCAGTAACTGTATAGAGCACAAATAAAACAAATTTAAGCGCCGAAACCATGTTTTTAGCAAGAAAACTGCAGAGCTTTACGACGTTTACTTCACGTCTTACACAAAAATTTGCATACAAGCACTAAATTTGCATATACAGCAACTTGTTAGAAAACGCACAAAACCATAACTTTTGGTATAATGATTAATGGTATAAAAGCAAATTTCTGTTAAATTATTCCTTTATAAAATTTCCTTTTAATATATTGCGCTATTATGTATATTTAATTAATGGTATAAAAGCAAATTTAAATGGGATTGAAAACGAAACGAGGGGAAAAACAATCTACCAGGGTTGTTCCGTGGGCCTGGATCCACGCTTTAAAAGGACCCCTATAAAAAGGCGATATCCACACTTTAGAAAACGAGTGCTTGCTTTTAAAACGTGGATCCAGAACCGCGGAACAACCCTGCATACAACTCCTCATCAAGAATAGGCTGTTGGAAATACAAATTTAGTGCTTGTATGCAAATTTTTGTGTAGGTCTGACTACATAAGACGTGAAGTAAACGTTGTAAAGCTCTGCAGTTTTCTTGCTAAAAACATGGCTCCGGCGCTTAAATTTGTTTTATTTGTGCTCTATACGGTTACTGGAACTAAAATAAACCCAAATAAATAGATTTAAAGCCAAAGCCTTATTCGCCTGTTTAACCAAGATTACTTTAAAGCTTTAAAATCAAACCATTACAGACTTCAGAGATAAATATTCAAAAATTGGATACAACTGCTACCTTGTTCATATTTTTGAGTGCTTCATTTCCGTCACTCAAACAATTGACGACTTGTTGTTGAATTTGGGCGAATTCGAGATCGTTTACCTAAAATTACCAAAATAAAACGATTAATCACTAAATAACTACCATCTGTTCGATGTTCTGAAGTTGTTTAAGTAGATTGTCGAATATTTTCTCCTGATATTTCTTCTTTTGAGTAGAACTAGAGCACGGCTAAATGAATGAATTGAAAAAGAATTGAAAGGGTATTTTCAGTATAAAAAATTAGATACGATTTTTAAAAAATTTTATGGATCACTCAGATTAATTCCTTTTTTAAAAGTTAGATTTAAACAAAAACTTACTCTTTTCGGCCCTCTTGAATAAGTTGTTTGGCCATTTCGCGTTCTTTATCCATGTATTTTTGTTTCCCCTTCATGTACTGCTTGATTCGATCTCGCTGAGTCTTCAGTCGCTGAAATAATAAAAATATAAGTGAGTCTGACTAAAGAAGTTGATTGTCTGACTAAAGAAGTTTAAACACTTCAACAAGTTATCTAGTGGTTATCAATTAGCAAGTTATCAAGCTATCTAGATCGTTATCTAGCATTATTGTTAGCTCATTTATTACACTCGTTATCATGGCCAAGCTTATCCTGTCAAAACTAATAAAAGGCAAAACTTACAATTATTGCCTGATCCTGTTCGGTGATTTCACAGTTTTTGATCGGCGTCGGTGCTCGAGATTTCTTTGAGAAGATGGCGCCCATTGTCGATGTTGATGGCTAAAATAAGGAAATGTTATAGGCAGACTAAAGTCAAACATTGAAACAAATAAAAAAATAACAAAGTCAACAGCTTTTTACTTTCTAAAGTTTAATGGAGTTGTGTGCTTGTAGCTTTGAATTTGGCAGCTTATCAATATTTTTAAAACGCGACAAAAATGCAAATTTAGATTGCTAGGCTGAATAGCCTTTTATTTCTTCTTTAACGATTAAATATCTTTCATTTGTGGTAGACAAGACAAAAGATGTATAAAAATGGTAGCTAAAACGGGAGTGGGACAAATGCTACCTTTTTTTGCGCACCCGGACATTTGCGCACCTTTTTTTCCGCACTTAGCCCATTAGCGCACATTTTTTCGCGTTTTAAAAAGCTCTAAAAGCTAATATTAACCAATTTCTATTCCAAAAGTTGTTTTTCTAGGTAATTTGAGGGTGTCGAATTCAAATTTTGACATAACAGAGCGTGTGAAACCAATTTGAAAGACAAAGCGGCTAGGTCAAAGTACAGAAAGTTGCCGATTTTTCCCTATAACTCCGTCCTTCCTCGTATAACTCCGTCCGTTCGCTTCCACAAGCTCTGATATGCCAAAATGTCGATTCTACGCCCTAAAATTACCTAGAAAAACAACTTTTGGAATAGAAATTGGTTAAAATTAGCTTTTAGAGCTTTTTTAAAACGCGAAAAAAGGTGCGCTAATGGGCTAAGTGCGGAAAAAAAAGGTGCGCAAATGTCCGGGTGCGCAAAAAAAGGTCGCATTTGTCCCACTCCCGTTAAAACCGTTCAAAGGCCTAAAAACATAAGTAACGGAAGTGTGTGTAGTAAAATTGACCCCAACCCCTTGTCATGCCCCCACATAGGGGTGTCATTTTGTTGTAGTTTGTTGTTTTTATCCAAGTCTAGGTTTGAGGCGACGAAAAGGCGCGGCATGAGTTCTTTGTTCTCACTTCAAAAAACCCTCCTTGATTTTTTGATGAAATTGTGAATCACTTGCTTGCTTTTATTGGTGTTTTTAAGTGTTTGTCAGTGTAAGTGTCATGTTTGTCAAGGTTTTAATTTTAAAATCGTTTTCTTTTTGAAATTGAAATCGTCGAATCAATTTTTTTCCAGGTTTTCTCGCATGACAAAAAAATCTCTTTCCGATTTTTTTTCATCAATTTGTGAATCACGGTCTTGCTTTTATTGGTGTTAGGTGTCAAGTTTTTAATTTGAAAATCGTTTTCTTTTGAAATTGAAATCATCGAATCATTTTGTTTTTCAGACTTTCTCGCATGACAACATGACCGGTTTGGAATTCGTGAAACGTGGGACAAAGGTAAACGAGTTTTTCTGTTTTCCGTAAAGAGTTTTTAGTTTAGATCGTTCTACTCGGCGTCGGTTCGTTCAATCCGCCAACGATTATGCATCTACGAATGTTCGAGATTGCTCGCGATCACCTCGAGATGATATTAGGGTTGGTATTCGTATCGATTTTTTTTTTTAACTTACAGAAAGACCGGCTTTAGTTTTAGTATCTTTGGTTTAAGTTCACTGCACCATAATTTAAGATCAAGTTCTAAAGCTCAGATAAAGCATTTAAACGTTTGACCCATTTTAAAAATCTTTCCTTTAGATGCAAAGTTGTTGAGGGAATCATGAGCCCAGTTGCCGACACGTACGGAAAAACCAATCTAGCAAGTGCTACTCACAGGTTTGTGGCTTTTGGTTTTGTTTTAAAAAGATTTCTTTTTAGATTAGAAATGACGCGACTTGCGGCAGCAACATCGACGTGGATTCGGGCAGATGGGTGAGTTTAACTAACTCTTGTATCATATTATAAGAGGTTGAAAGTTCTTTTAACATTTGATTCAGATGGGAGAGCACGCAGAAAAGTTGGTCACGAACACTTCAAGTCCTTGGACATCATCAAGAACAAGCGAAGTAAGTTTTAGGTATTATTTTTTAATGTTTTCTTTTTTAGAGAAAAATACGGTAATGAGGTTCGATTGATGTTGGTTGGTGGAGGAGACCTTGTCGACTCTTTTACGAGAATATTGGAAAATGGTGAGTTTGTGTTAGGAAGATGGTTCAAAGAAATTTCTAGGTGAGAATCTTTGGCATCCAAATGATATTTCGTCGATTGTGAGCGATTATGGACTCCTTGTGATTTCTCGCGAGAACTCGGATCCGTTGGGAACGTTGAATAAGATGGAATTTCTTCGAAACAATCAAGAAAAGGTGAGTGTCGTTTTTATTATCGATTCAAAGTAATTTGTCTAAATTGGCCCCATCTCTTAACTAAACATCTTACATTTTTAAGCGTTCGACGTTTTAGGCAATTACTACGTAGGAAAAGAGTTGAACTTTGTGGTTTAAAGACAATTCAAAAGATACGTAAACTTACTTTTTGTATTTCCAGGTTCAATTCATAACCGAAGATGTTTGTCCATGTGATGTCTCGTCGACGAGGATTCGAAAGGCGATAAAAGAAGGTCGATCGATCAAATACGCCGTCGTCGATCCCGTTCTTGACTATATTCAGAAAGTAGGATTGTATCATTGATTTATTTATGTATAGTATTCATGTCACTTGTGTATGCACTACTCATTTCTGGAACGGGTGAATTATTCATTGTGATTGCTCAAGCAAAAGTTGCCCTCTAGATTTTTAAGCTTTACATGCCTACTAATGCTGCTTACATTTGAATAAACATTGAAAAAAGTTTTTATTCTTTGTGGTGAAAGTTGTTTGCTAAAATTTGATTATCTGTCGGTCTTTAGTTCAATCTTTGACCAAAAATTGTAGTGGATCTATGCACTGAAGCTAGTCAGTGAAAAAAGCGATGGTTTATGAAAGTAGAAGAGAAGAATGGGGAGGGGTGAGCTGTTTGTCTTTGTCTTGGGCATCACTTGCTCCCCAGAGTCCATGTGCCTTCAAAAGAATTCACATTTGGTTGCAATTGACGGCTCTTTTATTCCAGGGGAACTCTTCTCTCTTTGTGCCTTTTCAATTTCTTAGCTTTTTTTTTTCTTAAATCCGTAAGTTCAGGGAAATCTATATGGTCAATGAGAGCGCTCTGATTGGGGAGCGGCTTGCACAAGGTATTACCCACAATAATGGTGAGTTTTTAGCGCTTTTGCTAAAAATTGATTAAGTTGAGCTTACGGTACTCAAAGTAAACTTCACTACAATTTTAATTACAATTAACATGGACTTGATTTATAATAAAAACAAATCTAATCTACCTAAACAATATTTTTAGAGAAGGATGAGAAGACGGTGACTAAAGAGCTGTCATCCCCACGAGGCCCGATTCACCTAGTTATTCCAGCCACCGCAAAAGCATTCCAGGTATTTGAATTATTGGGGTTAAATTAACAAAAACATTTTGAATTGAATGCAAACACTTAACTGTTCAACACCCACCGCTTTTGCTTTTGTGGCTTTCTTTTTGCGATCTGACGTCTCATTGATCCACAATCTCTGATTAAACCCATAAAACACAGGAATCTTCAATTTATCTATTTACCCATTCGCGTTTACCATCCTTTTTAAAAGTTTACGCACTTTTTCTTGCTGTACACTCAAACAAATGATCTCAAAGTTATATAATTTACCAAAAAATGTCAATCATTGTCAAGTAGACCTAATTGGCCGTGGCAAAATTGGCTCTCTTTTTCGAAATGTCTGCACCTAAACGCTCAAATTCTCTTTCTCCTCAAATCGAGGTTTTTTCCAACGGTCAATCGGAAAGTCTTGGAAAATTGTTTCTTAACCCTTTCGCTTTTTCACCCGTCCTCCTTGCTCAGGTGTTCCCGGGCAGATTGCTTCAGTAATCCGATCGCAAAAGAGAAATCGGCAAAAAGGGAGGAGAGATCAAAAGTCTCTTGTGCCCCTAAAATCCTAGAGAGGAAAAGAAAAATGAATTCAGTCAACATCACTGAGTTTTGTGCAAGTTTTTCGGCATTCTCCGGGGCATGCATCACTTTCTCTCTCATTTCTTTTCTATAAGTTTTTAAACTTTTCATTTTCAATTGAAAGTCTATGATTAGATGCTCTTTTGATGACTTTGGGTTCAAGGCAGACTTGCTCATCGATAAGTTAGTGCAAATAAAAAACATTAGTGCTTGAGTATTGCTTGTGTTTTCCTTTTTTCATTTGCAATTCAACACGAAACTTTATTGATGCCATAATACTTGAACAGGCTCACCAATTAGTTCTTTTAAACACAAAAACAAACCGACCTTTGATAAGCCCTTTGACAGCCTCAGACTCCAATCTTTGACCACCAATTTTATGGCCTGAAAGTGCGGCGGAAAGGTCTTTTTACACAATTGTAATTGGAAAGATTGATCATGTAGGCATTTTTTTCCGGGTTTCCAAGATGTATCGCGATCCGTCATGTGTCAACCACGTTTGTCTTTTCTTTTATTTGACCTGAGAGCTTCTCGATTCTCATGTTTTGAGTCTTCATTGCTTTAGCTGCTGTTACCCGCCTCTAAAACTAGCAATCTAGAGAAAAGATTGCGTTTGTTTTTTATTTAACCTTTTTATCAATAAGTAAATTTGTTTTAGCTTTACCCAACCCTGTTGGAAGCTGGGTAAAACTTCTTCTCAAGTGTGATAGTTTTTACGAGAAGAGACTTCCGGCAATAGCTAGTGTCTGTGTGGGCAATGGGCATTGTTTGTCTTTAGCGTGCGCCCTTTTGCGAGTGCTTTTTTTCGCCCTCTAGTTCACAAGTGTTTGCAACCACAAGAGATCCCATCCGTTTGCTGTTTTTTCACGTTTCTATTCTTGCGCTGGTAATCAATACGTTTTTCTAAATTTCTTCAATGTTTTGATCGAATTGAGATCGAAATCGAAAATTGTTTACGTTGCAGACTATGACGAACACAAAAAATTTCGCTTATGTCTTAAACAATCAAACGTTCAAAATTCAATCGGCAAAATGATTTTGTGCGACTTTCCGTTATCACTCTTTGCTTGACAGAAAAAGTTAAGCCGATTATTTAAATTCGCCATTTGCTTGTTGTAAAGCCCCTTTTCCACCTTTTCCACAAACGATTTTCACATATTTCCTTTCTAAAAACAAACCAACAAACCTGGTTTCACTTCTTCTGGTACACATTTGATCATTTCAGATATCGACGCCTGCGATGAGCTACCGTCATCAAGTAAAGAGTCAAAAACGATGAGTGTTTTTACTGACGGACAACCACACCAACAAAAGTTTTTGTTTTGAGGATTGCAACTTTATCTTTTCGTTTAGAAACTCTGACCGTGGACGGTTTCCCTTTTCTTTGAAAACATCAAAATTTTGGCTACGACTTCTGCGACCGTGGAAGTGGAGAAATTTGAAACGAAGCAGGGATAAAAATGGAATGGTTAGGTATGGGATTTTTGTTTTTCAAAGAATTAGCTCGGCTTATGAAGGAACTTTGGTACTTGTTGTTCAGACGTCAGAAAGACTCAAAATTGGTTAGTTTATTGCTTTTCCTGACAGGTTTTACTTTTTGCAGTTTTTTTACGGCCAAATATTTAAAAATTGTCCTACAAATTGAAAGCTTGATATTTTAGAAGTGGTAGCGCAGATGTGATTCGATCAACGCCAAATGTCATTCGTTGTCCACCATCGCCATCGTTGCCCTCGCTGATGCACAGTAGAGAGGTGAGAGGAGAGACATAAACACTAAGAATCACAAGAAGGGCAATGAAACAGACCCAAGATGGAGCTGCACAAATAAGGATTGTTAAGTGCTCGGTTGTTTTATGTGTATTGTATAAATCTTCCTGTTGTTATGATATAGTTTATTTTTTTATACTATAAATTTTCAGCTCGCATCATTGCCCGATTTCAAAAGGAGACAAAGCCACGATGTTGAGGCTTCAGCTGCTGCTTTGTCGAGTCAAGAAGAAATGAGGACCACATATGTGCACATTGGAGATGAGTCGTCGTTAGAAGGTGGGAATTATTCTTGGATCTAAATGATCGCTCAAAAGTTCAAATTTTTGAACCAAACAACTTTAATTCTTCTAACGGTGTTGAGATGAGTCAGCAAAATAGAATCTCACGCCCATTCAATAGTCGAAAAACATGTGACTTAAAGCTTAAAAAGCTTTTTGCTGAACTTTTATTGATTTTCTAATTTTTTGGTCCCGTTAGCCTCCAATGTTTGGTCTCTTATCCCATCGATTTTGCTTCAGTGTTCAAAACTTCGAGATCTTAAGCTTAGCGAAAAAAAATCACTGGGGTTTGGTGGGATTTCTTTCTATTTCTTCTCGCTTTCGGCAAATATTTGTCGTTTCACTCATTCGAATGGCCGCGATCATTATTGGCCGAGGATTTAATATAAGTTTAGATATTTATTTTAAAATAATTCTGTTTTGATATTTGCAAAAATGTTTTTAACAATTGCAATTTTTCACCAATTCTTTGATTTTAGAATCACTCGAAAGTGTCCCGGAAGTAAAGAACAGGTACAATTTCAAAAATGACTATATAAAACTTATCCAAGCACATAATTATGTAAATTGTGTATGAATAAGTGTTACAAGCACCTAGATAAGAACTAAACTTTTCTTGCCTTTTGCTCAATGCGAGAATGCTGTCACGTTTTTGAGCTCTCGATTTTGAAACGCTTTTTTGCTTGCAACGGATTTCCTGCAGAACAACTGTTCATTTTTCAAAAAAAAAGACACTCAATTCTTTGGAATTTCAAAATTTTAACAATAGATTGTTCAATATGCAATTATTCAACTTTCACTAAATACAATTTCAGTTTCAAATTTTAATTTGTGAAATTTTAGCCCTCCACGTGCTCCGGGTGTTGAGGTGATTCGAGTACGGGCCGTTTCTCATCAACCACAAAAACACGTGGTTTTCATTCAAGATAATCAAACATTTAGTAAGTCGTTTTAGTTTTGTTTTATTTTATCAAACCTCTCAGATTTAATTATTTTTTGTGTTTCAGTTGACTCAACAGCTCTTCCGGGGACAAACGAAGCCACTTTGTACAAGCCACTGCAAGTAGATCTATCTCACTCATTGACCGTTGCATCGAATCGTCAAAAACTTGGTATGAGTTTGAAATTCTTTTACTCTAATTGCGTTTTTACTTTTTACTCTAATCAACAATTTTAAATAATAAATATTGCAGCAAAATTTTGAGTTTTTAAATTTTTACGGGGTCCCAATACTATTTCAAACCCTGATACCCAAGTAAAACCGATTGTTTTTCAAACTTCAAAAAGGTGAGAGAATCACTCATCCGAATCGGTTTTTCTAAAGGTCTTTTTCTGGGGTAGACATGAATACATGAGCGTCTCCGGCCGCTTTCTGTGAATAATCAATTTCACACACCGGTGTTAGCCATAGCGTTTGAGCTCTTAATTAAAGCGTTTTCCACTTTTTTTTTTGTTCCGCTCTTCTTCCGGAATTTTTTACTAGTTTCTCTCACGGAAATTTTCTTTCATCTACTTACACTTGTTGGAATCGAACTCCTTTTTTTTTCTCTGGCTTTTTCCCCTTTTCCAATTCCCCGAGGGTTTATACCGGGAATTCAATTCCGACTTTTAGGTCGTCAATTCTCAAGAATATTTTCCCCCGTAAAAGTCTATGCTTTCTAATGTCTACCACTCCAACTATTAGCACGCGTAAATATGGGATTTTCTTTGCTGATCCACCAATTATTCCACACACACCCCGGGCGTCTAAGAACCCGGAAAAATTTATCACTTGGTTGGCAAAATTTCAGTCGACAATCAAGTTTAAATTTTTAGGTATGATAAAGCTTTTTGACAAAGGAGAAAATGGAAATTTAGATTTCGAGGCATTCTTCAACGGCGAAGAAACGGAAAACGAAGACGAGACTAGCGATCTGATGAGACCAAAGGATCACAAACAACAATTTGCTGAAGTTGCCGCTAAAGTGAGTTTTAAAAATTTCGATTACCGAAATTACCGTTTTTCAAGCTTCAAATCCATTGATAACAAATTCAGGAGCCCGATCTCAACGCGATACCAGGACGTCCCGCTTTGCGAAGGCCCGGGCAGCCATCTCGTGTTCGACTCCGACCACCCAACAATGGTTCACCGAAGGTGCCTTTGCTTGGAATTTCATTGCTTTACAAAATTTTTTAGAAGAATGTTGCCGAGAAAAGAACTGTGATCAACGATGATGGACTAATCACTCGGCTTACTGATGACAGTGATAGTGATGGGGAAATACAATACAGGTTCGTTCGTCAGCACGATTAATTGAGCACTTTTGTTGTTTACTTCTCAAAAATTATAATTTTTGTAGTTATCGTGTGAAAATCACAGGGAAACTCTCAAAGTTTGAAATGTGGATGACTAATATTTTAAATGAGAGCCAATTTTGAATGGAACCAGGCTCTAGACTAGGCAAAAAGGCTTAACTATAGTGTGAGTTGGTACTAATTGGTACTAAAATTTTATTGTTTAGAGATGATCCCATTTCTACACCAAGCAAATCTTTATCTGATCTCCCGCCATTAACCCGTTCCGATGACGAAGAAGATGAGGAAGAAGAACCGGCTATTGGTGAGATTTTGAAGAATCCGCTTTCAATGTTAATCTACTTTAGCTGATGGTCTGGCTTCAAAGGTTTTCCGTAAAGACACATTTGCGTTACGTTTGGATGTGAAAGAGGACTTCAACGGTCAAACGCCCGATGAAAGACGTGAAAATATGCAGAAGTAAGTGATCGACTCTTAATTTTCTTTGATAAGCCCATCAATATAGTAAATCTTTAGAATTCATTTTGCTTTTCATTCGTGGGAACTCACGAAAAGGTAGCGAAACGAGTCAAAAAAAAAGTTTTTGAAACCTTTTAAGCCCTTACCTGTACCTGTACATTTTTGTTTACTCTCGTTGAAAAAACCAATTCATTTATGAATTGGAAATTTCAACCCTTTTCGATATCCCCAATTTCTGACGAGACGCTGTGTGTTCACTCACTTTTTGACTAACATTCTTTTTTTTGGATTAATATTTTGTTTTAGTGCATCCGCAAAACTTCTACGAAAGCTGAGTGAGCGGCCGACGGCGAACGAGTTGATGAATCGGAATATTTTGAGGGGAGATGAAGAGGCGAGCACGATGGAGGAGAAAAGGAAAATGCTGTTGAGAAAGGTGGGGGTGAACCTTTCTTTTTAAAAATAAGATTTGACAAATTAAAGTTTATAAAATAGTTTTGTATCGATACTCATTTTTCAGTTATCGTTTCGTCCGACGATCCAACAGCTCAAAGACCAACAAATCATCCAATTCAATGACTATGTCGAGGTTACTGAAGCTGAGATCTATGATCGAAAAGCGGATAAACCGTGGACGAGGCTCACCCCATCTGATAAAGTTTGTTTTTAGCAATTTTCTTAAATTTACCTGTTTTAGGCTTTGATACGAAAAGAACTGAACGATTTCAAACAAACTGAAATGGATGTACATGTGGATAGTCGAAAGTTTACGAGGTTTGAGGATTCTTTTCAAATTTCATTCATAATTTAATCCTATGAGCATTGGGATAACGCTTTTAATAAATTGTTCTTTTAGACTTCACAAGCCCTGAACCTGGTGACGAGCTTTTGCATATACCCTGCAAGGATAGCAAGTAACCGTTTTTGGCGGCTATGTTACTCAGTCTTATTTCCCCGAAGTTCCTTGCACTGTTTTGCTTTTTATTGTTTCCGAATTGTTTGTGTTGTATTTAGATTTAGACACTGGTCACAAAGAAAATTTAAATATTCCCTTGATTGTGGCCTCTTTTTTCCTCTCTCAGTTCACTTATTTGTTCGATTGAAACGAGTCTCTTTGTGTGTTTGTTTGTTGAAATGCTCCCGCATCTAGTAACTGAATATCTTTTGGGCTTATGAAAAATTCAAAGCTCCTGATCCGCGAAAATTCACTTTTCTTTACTAGGGAGATTAAAAGGATTTCGTAAATTTTCTTTTTCTTTTCTATCCTTCTTGTGCGTCGTCAAATTTATTAAAAATGGCAGAATTGAAATGTTTCTTTTCGGAGATCACACGATTCTTATTGTTAGAATTCGTTTTTCGAAAGCATTTATACTGAAATTTTTACTCCTTTAGGCCTAATTATTATTCCTCTTCACTTTTCCCTGCAAAATCTGTTCAAAACTTTTCTTTTCGGTGCACAATGAGCTCAGATATTTTGTTTTTCGAAAATTACTTTTCTGGGTTCTTTCTCCCATTTTTGCCTTACTTGTACCCTGAAATTGAGCACACACATTTTTGACCGGTGTTTTCTCCCGTTTCTCTTAAAAATCGACAGGATCGAGAATTCAGTTACCCTGTGTGAAAAGAGATTGAAATGTGCATCGATTCCTTCTCTTTTCTTTTTTTTGTATGATTTTTGTAGGAATCTGTAATCAGTTGTATCTCATCGCGTCTGCATAATTAAATAAAACTTTGATACAATTAAAGTCTACATTTGGGGTCTTTATTCTACAATGAACATAGTGCAAACTGCAAATAAATAGAAGATTATGCACGCACAAAAGAATCACGCTTTTTCTCTCAACACACGATTCGTCCAGTCAATCCCTAGCGGCATAGTGGAATATGGAGTCGATGCGGCGTCCAATGGTGGAGCCAAACGGTTGAGTGCAAGTCTAAAAAAATGCGCATTATATCTTGAAATTTAAAAGCCTAACAAACTAAATTTTAAAAACCCAAAAAAAATTTAATCAACCAACCCATCAGCCTCCAGAAATGGAATCGTTTCAATGGGAAGTGCTTCTAATGATTCGCGAAGATTTTGAGCCAAAACCTCATGAAGAGCATTGGTTGATGATCTGAAATTTCAGGCATTTACTTAGATCCAGTAAAAATTTCAGTTTACTCAAAAGTGAGAAAGTTGCTTACGTTGTTGACTTATCCACAGCACAAGCTTGGAGCAGGATTTTCCAGCGTTCATCATCTTTGACGTCTCGATTGCTCCATGGGTGTAAGTTTCTGAAAAATATCTTTGAATTTTGTAAACTAGAAACGATACTTTATCCGCAGACGAGACAAAAATCGATGAATTTCCTCGAATGATGAATGATCGGAATAAGGGAAAGAGAAGATATTCTCTTCGGGAATTCGGCGGCTAAAGAAGTTGATTATGAAACAATGGCTAAAGCCCACCTCAATGTCTTTCGTTGCATTGTCAAATTGATCACTTTGCATTTGAAAGCTTTTTTGCCGTAAGCCTCATAAAGATCACCTGTTAATCTAAAATTCATGATAAAATGAAAATAAACGAAACCCGTACCGTCTTAAACAAACATGTATCCGTACAGTGCTTGAATTTTCCTCGGGTTCCACGAAATGTTGCAACTCTTCGGGGGAAAATAGCGATTCTCTGACACTCCATCGACCCGCATCGAGCGCAATCTTTTCCTGTAAAAGAATGATTAGTAAGCTTCTTTTATTAGTAAAACACTGACCCCAGTATATTTGGCAATTTTGATGAGCGCGTTCTCTTTCCCGAGCTTGTGCAGTGGAAACAAGATCCGATAATTTCGGGGAATCCATCGAATCGTCTCGTAGATACGTGGAAATAACTAAAATCTGATAGAACATTTTCAATAATTCAAAGAAAACCTCATCTCTCGGTGGGAAACTTGAGGTTTCATCCCATAGATACGTGTCATCAATGAAAACGTGACCGAGTTCGACCTAGAATCGAGCTTTCAACCAGTATGCAAGCATAAAACAGACCTGTGTCAGCTCTTGATAATTAGGATCCGAATCAAAACGTTCAAAAAGCGTTCGGTCGGCGCGAAAATCTCCTGTGAAAAGAATTGGCCCTAAAAGAACACAATTATGATTAAGAAAATCTATCAAACCTTGAGCAAAAATCTCATCGTTTCCTTTAAAGTACAACATGGCAGATCCAGGACAATGATTCGCATCTAATAAAGTGATCTAAACAAGCAGTTTTTTAAATTTAAACAAGAGCATTACCGTAAAATTCCCCAAATCCTGAGCGATGCCAAGTGGTATTGAGTGTAACAACTGAAACGTGAAAGTAAAGCATTTTTCACAAAAAAAAAAACCAATATCAACATATTTTTAATCTTTTCACTGACAGCTTTAAGCTTTTTCCAACCTGTTTACTAATACCAGCGCCAAGGGTGCCTGTCCGATTCTTCCTTGATGTAAGATACGGCAGCAATTCGGCGGTTTTCTCACTGCAATAGATTTGGCGCTTCCATGTGTACTAAAATGATTTAAAGTCTTTAAAATTCTTTATCTTACTCACCGACAATGATCCATAGTGATCGGAGTGGCCATGAGTCAAAAAGTAGAAAGCTTTTCGCCTAAAAAACAAATTAAGACGCTTTATTGGTAAAACGGACGAGTAGCGATTGAAATTGTCGACGGAGAAGAGCATTCCGCATACCGCATCCAAAAGACTTCGCTTTGAAGAACTTGGGGAATCTATTCTTGAGATTACTTTAAATGGTTCTAAAATACAAACCTGTTTTGAGTGACTTGTTGACTGAAGTTCGGGATTCGTCCAACGTTTCTGACATTCGATTCCTTGCAGCGACTTCGGCCTCTTTTCGTTGTGCCTCTTCGCGCATTTGTCTAAAATTAGAATTTTCGGTACTTTGTGGGTTGATGGTCACTTTTTTTGAAATTCTCACTTTTCCTGGGGTAATCAGTGACGCTGAACACGAAAATGATAAGGTTTTGGTACTTTGGCGGTTGGGAGAGGCCACTTTTAGCTTGGCTTCGTCGAATCTAGTGTTTTGAGCAGTCTATGTCGATACTTTTCTTTTATTCCGGCATAATTATATATGCTAAAGCGATTGGTGCGAATTTTAGAGTATTTTCAACATGTTTCAAGTTAGTATTGCAACTTTCCAAGTGTAATCGGCTTTGAGATAACGTTCGGTGGTTAAACAGGCTAGGACACATGGCAAATCATCGAATAGGATTATCAAAAGTGTGCTTAAATTAGCACCAGTCGCTTCAGTATATATCTCTTTCTTCAGAATAGAAGAAAAGTATCGACACAAACCGCTCAAAGCACTAAAAGCACTAGAAGCACTAGCACTCGACGAAGCCAAGCTAAAAGTGGCCTCTCCCAACCGCCAAAGTACCAAAACCATATCATTTTCGTGTTCAGCGTCACTAAATACCCCAGAAAAAGTGAAAATTTCAAAGAAAATGCCCTCCAACCGATAAAGTGCTAAATTTTGTTCCATTAATGAAGGCAATCATGCATATTTGACTCGAAAAGCTTTTGAAATCACATTTTTTAGAAAAAACTGCACTATAGCAAGTTTATTTTACCGATCTAACTAAATTTAACTATTAACAGCTTATTTTAATAAAAACTTTACTAGTAAATGCATTTAAAACAGCTCACAAACATTTAAAACAGCTCACAAACATTTAAAACAGCTTACAAACATTTAAAACAGCTTACAAACATTTAAAACATTTGAAATACTTACCTGATTGCCACCATCGTGCTGTAGCGCTGTAAATCGCCTCTGCTTTCGTCGAAATCGCTTTGATATTCGTAAAACTCTACATCTTCGGAGAATCGAGTTCTAAAATAAAAATTTAGCTTTAAAAACATTCAGAAATCATCAAAAAAATATATCAAGATGTTTTAAAACAAAATTTTTATCAAAAAAACACCTTTTTCGTTTCCTCGTTTCACTCATTTGTTCCTTTTATTTCTAAAAATGTTTTTATAATAAAATCAAAATAATAAAATCAAAATTTTGAAAAGGATAAAGGTAAAAGCTAGTTGATCTAAATCAAAAATTTTATTTTATGCTCTAGATTACGCGCCAAAATTGGGACCAATTACCTATCGTTTCCACTTGTACAAATGACACCCCCATATGGCAATAATATAAGATTAAGTGTGTTATTTGATTGAAACAAAAAACAAAACAGATAATTAGAAAGATTTAAAAGAGTTTAACGTAATTATTGTGTTTTTAGCTACCTTTTAAAAAAATCTTTGGCGCTAAACGAAGGGAAAAAATTTTAAAAAGATGAGGTTTGTAGCAGGGACAGACAAATAAGATGCGGAAATTGTCTGGAAAATCAGAACTCGATAATACACTGTGGTGCAAAAGTCGGTACTTTTCCAATATCGGGGGAGCGGTCCGATTATCGGGGGGAGCAGATTTTGCCCCCTCGAAAAATGCATTTCCGGGACTGTATTTTAACTGCAACGTTTTTTTTTTCAAACTTTAACGACGATGCGCCTTCTCCGATATTTGTGCGTTCAAGGAATCGACGGCAATCGATTATTTCGTCACCAAAGGAGTCATCCGGTCGTGGATTTGCAATTGTGGCGAATCGATGAAAGTCCGCTCAAAGGGACAAGATCTATTTCGCTGGGTGTTAGATACACTGTGGTGCAAAAGTCCTGACCGGTCGCACTGTCCTATCAAGTCTGAACCATTTCGCCAGAAAAAGAACGTTAAAATTTTATGGTAAAAACGTTTTTGGATAGCTTAAACCTTCTACTTTTATAATCCAAAGAATGAAAGCAATAACATTTTATTTAACAAAAAATTTTGACAAT